ATACTCAATGAAGAAAGTCTGAGAGCTTTCCCATTAAGATCAAGAACAAGACAAGGATGCCCACTCTCACCACTGCTATTCAACAATGTACTGGAAGTCCGAGGCAGAGGAATTAGGCAAGAAAAAGAAATACAAGGTATCCAAATCAGGAAGGAGGAAGTAAAACTATCCCTTTTCATGAATGATATGATCCTATATATAGAAAACCCAAAAGATTCCACAAGTAAGCTATTGGAGCTAGTAAGTGAATTCAGCAAAGTGGCAGGGTACAAAGTCAACACACAAACATCAGTTGGGTTTCTAAATATCAGCAATAAGTAAGCTGAAAAGAAAATTGAGGAAAGAATTGCATTCACAATAGCTTCTAAAAGAACAAAGTACTGAAGAATACATTTAACCAAGGAAGTGAAAGAACTGTATACTGAAAACTATTAAACATAACTAAAAAAAATTAAAGAAGACCTAAATAAATGAAAGGGTATTTGATGTTCATGGATTAGAAGGCTTAATATTGTTAAGATGTCAATACCACCCATAACCCATAAAACCTGTAGCAATCTGTAAGTTCAATGCAGTCTCTGCCAAAATTCCAAAAGCCTTCTTTGTAGAAATGGAAAAGCCAATGCTCAAACTTATATGCAACAGCAAGGGGCCCCAAACAGCCAAAGCAATCTTGAAAAAGAAGAATAAAGTGAGAGGGCTCACACTTTATTTCAAAACATACTACAAAGCTAGAGTAATCAAAACAGCCTGGTACTGGTAGAGCGATAGAAAAACAGACCAACAGAACAGAACTGAGAATCCAGAAATAAACTCATACATATATCTATGGTCAACGGATTTTTCACAAGGGTGTTAAGTCCATTCAACTGGGAAAGAAGAGACTCTAATAAATGGTGCCGAGAAAACTGGATTTCCACATGCAAATGTATGAAGCTGAATCAACACCTCACAACATGTATAAAATATAATTCAGAATGGATCAAGGACCTAAAGGCGAGAACTAAAACCATAAAATTCTTAGAAGAAAACAAAGGGGAACTGCTTCAGGACCTACTTTTTAACAACAATAAAAACAAACAACCCAATCAAAAAAAAAGGGCAAAGGACTTGAAAAGACATTTCACCAAAGAAAATATAGAATTGGCTAACTAGTACATGAAAAGATGCTCAATGTCATTAGTCAGCTGTTGTTATTTGCCTTCAAGTTGGTCCCAGCTCATGGCAATCCTGTGTACGATGCAACGAAATGCTGCCTGATCCTTCACCATCCCCATGACAGGTCGCAGATCAAATGACTGTAATCCAAAGGGTATTCATTAGCTGATTTTAAGAAGTAAATTACTAGGCCTTTCTTCTTAGTCTGTTTTAGTCTGGAAGCTTCACTGAAACTTATTTAGTATCATAGCAACACAGAAGCCTCCAATGACAGGTGGTGTCTGTGCATCAGACGCACTGGCTGGGAATCGAACCCGGGCCTCCTGCATGGAAGGTGAGAATTCTACCACTGAACCAAATCAAAACCACAATGAGATACCACTCACCCTCAACAGAATGAGTATGATAAAACAAAACAAAATAAAAGGTGTTGGTGAGGATGTGAAGAAACTGGAACCCTCATCCACTGCTGGTGATAATGCAAAATGGAAGAGTCACTCTGGAAAACAATGTGGTGGTTCCTCAAAAGGTTAACACAGAACTACCATATGACCCAGCAATCCCAATCCTAGGTATATACCCAAAAGAATTGAAAGCAGGAATGGAAACAGAAACCTGTACACCAGTGTTCACTGCAGCACTAGTCACAATAGCCAAAAGGTGGAAATAATCTCAATGTCCATCAACAGGTGAATGGATAAACAAAACATGGCATATATATATATATAAAATGGAGTATTACTCAGCCATAAAGAGAAACAAAGCCCTGATACATGCTACAACATGGATGAACCTTGGAAACAGTATGTTGAGTGAAGTAAGTCAATCACAAAAGGACAAATACTGAATGATTCCACTTATATGAAATATCCAGAATATGCCAATATAAAGACCAAAGCTTATTAGTGGTCATCAGGGGTGGGAGGAAGGAGAAAAAAGGGAATTACTGCTTAGGGGGCACTAAGTTTCTGTTAATGATGGTGGCAGAACCTGGAAAACAACAGTAGTAATGGTTGTACAACATGATGAACGTAATCAATGTCACTGAATTATACATGTAAAAATTGTTAAACTGGAAAATAGTTTGCTATACATATTTTCACCACAATAAAAAAAAAGTTAATGAGTCTACATAAAAACCTGCACATAAATGTTTATAGCAGCTTTATTCATAACTGCCAAAATTTTAGAGTAACCAAGACATCCTTCAACAAGTGTACGCATAAACAAACTGTAGTATAGCCTACACTGGATGGAGTATATTATCCAGTGACAAAAAGAAATGAGCAATGAAGCCATGAAAAGACATGTAAGAACCTTAAATGCATATTGCTAAGTGAAAGAAGCCAGTCTAAAAAAGCTACATACTATATAATTCCAACTATATGACATTCTGGAAAAGGCAAAAATTTAGAAAATAAAAAGATTAGTAGTTGCCAGGGGTTCAGGAGAGGAGGGATGAACAGGTGGGGCACAGGGCATTTTTTAGGGCAGTGAAACTATTGTGTAGGACACTGTAATGGTATATACATTACATTATGTATTTGTCAAACCCCGTAGGGCTATACAACACAAAGAGTAAACCCTAACGTAAACTATGGACTTCAGTTAATAATAACATATCAAGATTGGTTCATAAATTGTAACAAATGTATCAAACTAAGGCAAGATGTTAAAAACACGAAAAACTATGTGCAGGGGAGAGCAGCCGTGGTTCAGAGATAGAATTCTCACCTTCCATGTGGGAGACTTGGGTTTGATTCCTGGTCAATGCACCTCAAGCACAGGAGCTTCTAGACTAAGATGGGCTAGGAAGAAGGGCTTGGGGATTTACCTCTGAAAATCAGTCAGTGAAAACCCCATGGATCACAATGGTCCAATATGCAACCAATCATGAGATGGTACAACACCGTGCAGCATTTTGCTCCATTGTACATGGGGTTGCCATGAGTAGGGGGCCAACTCAATGGCAGCTGACAACAACAATTTTCATATTACTGGTCTATCTTGTCTCTTAAGATTTCAAAAAATAACAATATACAATCAACTTACACAAGCTCAGACAATGACTTGATGGCTCTCTATAAAGAACAGAATCAGAGAAAATTCTTGTTTTACTCAAAATTCTCTCCTACAGTTAACAAAAAACACACAATCTCAATAAGGATGCCTTTAAAGAAACTGCAATTACTGTGATCACACAGAGGTATAATACTGAAGCTAGTGTGTTGTTTTACTCAACAGACATTTACTATGTGCCAACTCTGTGCCAGGCCTATGCTAGTTGTTGGGGATCCAATGGTGGACAAAGTAGGCATGGTACACACTCTTAAGAAACTTATAATTTAGCAAACCTGAAAACCCCTGCTTTTAGACATGAAACGTATTGTTTTTTGCCTATTTTGGAAACAAAGCAACTAGGACTCAAGAGTGGTAAATGTTTCCAAAGTCACATATAAGTGCTCTAGATGAACAAGAAAGGTAGGTACTAAAATTCGCTATTTTGTCTCCTAATGTAACACTTAACCTGCCTCTGTCTCACTGGAAGCTAAGCTGATTGTAGAAGAGATTCTTAACAACAGCCTCTTGTCCTATCCATTGACTACAGAAGAGACCATGTACCTTCATCCCCAACATACTAGCTTTGTTCTTCTGAGTCAGTCACCAGTTAGTTTCCAGATCATGTATAAGTACTCTCACTGAAAATAACAGGTAATCACCATGTATTACAAAAATCTTTTGAAGTCTTAAGATACTATGATAACATTAAAACTTGAAAAAACAGAGTATCATACTAATTTCCTTTCTATACAGTTCCATACACATTCAATTTAGAAAAAAACAAGAGGAGAAACAATTTCTTTTGATTTGTTTTCATTTTAAAATAGCAACACAGGTTAGTCTAATTAGAATATGGGTTATACCTTCCAGGACAGAAAAAGGTAGAAATAAGTCACTAAGAGTTGGCACCAACTCTCATCTCTATCTCTCCTTCATTTATGTCTTCAACCTTAGTTCTCAGTCTATAAGTAGGTCTCCAACCATGTAGAGCAGGGGTCTGTTAACTTACTCTATAAAGGGCCACAGAGTAAATATTTTTGGCTTTGTGCAACTGAAGATCTGTTGCAACTACTTAACTCTGCCAGTATAGCTTGAAAGCACCTACACACAATATGTAAACAAGAAAGAGTGGCTGGTTCACTGAAACTTCATTTATAAACACTGAAATTTGATTTTCATTTAATTTTCATGTGTCACCAAACAGCATTCTTCTTTTGAGAATTTTTTCAACCATTTAAATGTTAACCCCACTCTTATCTCATGAGTCATACAAAAGGAGGCAGCAGGCCGGATCTGGTAGTGTACTGACCCCTGATGGAGAGAACTGCTTGTAAGCTGAAGCTGTAGTAGGTTACCTGCCTTTCTCTCAACTGATGCTTTATCTCTAAGTCTAAAATTTGACAGGAAATAATTCTTATTCCAATTTTCAGGCCTTTGCAAATTACCTTCCTTTATCTCAGAAAAAGACAAGAAGTCAATTCTTACTTTTGAGCAGTAACAGAAGTTTTAAGAATGGCTGAAAAGAAAATACATCTGCATTTCAATTACCTTTACCAATGGATAATTTTTTCATTCCTCATAAGAATGAAAATTCTAAAGATAAATAAAAGCTACCAAGGAAGGTATAGGTCATGTCCCAAATATTTTTATAATTCCTTGCCTTCTGCTCCTCGTCAGGAGACCACAAATCCCACCCCACCCATAATTCTGTTCCCCACTGCCAAATAGATGACATACCTCTGAGATCAAAATGAAGATTAAAGGTAACTAGTGAAACTCACCAAGCTTTAAAGATTCATCGTAGAGAACTGTAGTAATTTTCCAAAGGCATCTTACAAAGTGATAGATTCAGCTTCTGAGTTTCAGCAACTTCACAGAAAAATAAAATAAAAATTTTGTAAAACAAGAGTAGCTGTGAATATAATATTAACCAAATTCTCAGTAACATTACCTCCAACATTTTTTCCACATCATGCCTACAGTATATATTGGGCAACTCCGATGTGTCATGAATTAAAAATGCAGAAATGAAATGTCAGACTCCAGCATCCCTAGGGATGTGCAACTTCACAGTGTATTGGGCAACTCCAAATGTGATGGAGGGCTTGAAGGACTGTATCATTGTAAAGGGAAAGCATGATAGAAACACAAATCAGTTTGGTGAGAGCTGGTTAGGAAAGGCCTCCTAAAGGAGGGTCATTTAATGCAAGCACGAGTACAAACTTGCCAAATAAAGTGAGGAGAAAAGGCAGAAAAAGAATGTGTTTCATCCAGAGGGATTGCATGTTCAAGGGTCCAGACGTAGGACAGAATATGGCATTAGTATGAGAGTGAAAGAAGTCCAGTACAGCTGCTCAGAGACAGAAACAGTATGAGGTCATCCCTGGAGATGAGGTGGACAAGGGAGGAAAGTGAGAGGTGAAGCACTTTTCCTTAAGTCACACAGGGTTAAAAGGCCAAGCCCATTTTCAACCTTCACCACTTGACTGAAATACACTAGCCATTCTAAAGGTCTCCCAAGTGCCCAGCCTCAAGAGTCTGACAGGGGCGCTGCTGGGAAGGAAGCTGAGGCAAAGTTCCTGTAGGGAATGATCTTTCTAGAGGGGCTCTTGCAAGGGCCTGAGAGGATATTTGGGGAACAGCAACAAGGCACTGCTGACCCTCCCAGGGAGGGTGGTATCAGCAGAGGGTCGACTGGAGAGCCGGAACACCTTCTCTGCCAAGAGTAATGAAAAGTCTGTCCCCGCTCCATGACAACAGAGGCTGAGCGAGGAACTCAGACTTCAGCCCCACCTGGCAGAAACAAGGTAGTGCTCCCCCCTCCCACTTGCCCTGCCTGAACAATGTCAGAGGAGGACTGCTGAAATAGAATATTTAAATAAGATTCAGAGTTTCATAACATAGTACTCAAATATCCAAGTTGCCATGGAAAGTTAGTAATCACACCAAGAACCAAGAAAATATCAATTTGAATGAGAAAAAACAAGCAACAAGATGCCAACACAAAGATGACACAGATGTCAGAATTATCTGACAAGAATTTCAAAGCTGCCATTGTAAAAATATTTCAACAAGCAATTACAAATATGATTGAAACAAATGAAAAAAATATAGAAAATTTCAGAAGAGAAAGTCTCAGCAAAAAAACAGAAGATATAAAGAACCAAATGGAAATTTTAGAACTTAAAAATACAAATAACTGAAATATAAAACTCAATGGATGGGTTCAACATGAAAATGGAGGAGAAAAAGAAAGATTCACTGAACTTAAAGAGAGAACAACAGAAACTACCCAATTCAAACAAAAAAGAGAAAACAGACTGAACAAAAGTGAACAGAGCCACAGAGGCCTATGGTACTGTAAAAGAAAATGTAACATTCATATCCTGCAAAGACAGGAGAAATATGGTGGGGGTTGAAAAACTACTTGAATTAACAAAATGGGAGAAAATTCCCCAAATCTGGCAAAAAACATAAGCCTACATATTCAAGAATCTGAGAAAACCCCCAACAGGATAAAACCAAAGAAATCCAGGCCGAGACATATCATATTTAAACTTCTGAAAACTAAAGACAGAAAAAATCTTGAAAGCAGCAAGAGAAAAATGACACCTTACATATTAGAAAAAAACAATTCAAATGATAGCAGATTTCCCATCAAAAATTATGAAGACCAGAAAAAAGGGGCACAGTGATTTTTCAGGTGTTAAAAAAAAAATACCGTCAACCCAAGAATCCTCTGTCTAGACAAAATAGTCTTCAGAAATGAACAGGAAATCATGCATTCTCAAAGGAAGGAAAACTAAGACAATTTATTGCCAGCAGACCTACCCTGAAAGAATTGCTGAAGAAAGTTCCTGAAACAGAAAGAAAATGCTAAAAGGAAAAATGGAACATCAGGAAGAACAATGCAGAGTAAAAATATGGGTAAAAACAATAGACTTTCCTTCTCCTCTGAAGTCTTCTGTATTATTTTTGAAGGCTGAAACAAAAATTATAATACTATGTGATGTTGAAAGCAATTTATGTAGAGAAAATATTGAAGGCAATTATATCAGAAATGGAGATGAGTAAAAGCACTTAAAAGGAGGTAAGTTTTCTACACTTCAAACTGGTAAAATGGTTAAAAAAAAAAAAAAAAAACCTTTAAACTGTCGTAAGTTATGTATAAATAATGTAATACCTAGAACCACCATGAAAACGCTATCCAAAGAAATACAAATGAAACATTATACACAAATCATAAAGCAATCCTAAAAAATGACCACAGAAAGGCAAGAAAATGAAAACAGACAATAGAGAACAAACAGAAAACCAAAAATAAAATGGAAGACTTACGCCCTAACATGTTAATAACTACATTAAATGTAAATGCTCTAAATATACCAATTAAAAGATAGAGACTGACAAAGTACATTTAAAAATATGACCCAAATGTATTCTGGCCACAAGAAACTCACTTCAAATATACCAATATAGGCAGGCTGAAAGTAACGGAAAACAGGAACTAGCACTACAGACACTGTAGATAGTAAAAAAAACAATAAGGGAATGTCATAAACAACTACAGGAGTCCCAGGGTATTGCAAACAGTTAAGTGCCTGACTACTGACTGAAAGGTTGGTGGCTTGAACCCACCCAGAGGCACCTTGGAAGACAGGCCTAGTAACCTGCTTCCAAAAGGTCACAGCCTTAAAAATCCTATAGAGCAATTCTACTCTGCACACCTGGGATCACCATGAGTCAGAATAAACTCCACGGCAACTAACAATAATGTAAACAACTATACACACATAAATCTGACATCTTAGATGAAAAACACAAACTACCACAGCTAATCCAATATGAAATAGATCATCTGAATAGTTCCATAACCATTAAAGAAAATGAATTTATAATTTTAAAACTCCATAAAAAAAAATCTCCAGGTTCAGATGGTTACACCGAAGAATTTTATCAAACATTTAAAGACAAAATGATGTCAATTTTATATAATTTCTTTCAGGCAACAGAAGAAAAGTGAATACGTCCAGTATTACCTGATACCACACCGGAGACAAGACAAAACAAAAGAAGAAAACTAAAAACCAATATCCCTCATGAATATAGATACAAAACAGCAACTAGAATTTGGGAATATATATAAAAAAAATTTACATACGATCAAATGTACCACATTAACAAGCTAAAGAACAAAAATCATACCAAGCGATGCAAAAAATATTCAACAAAATTCAACAATCATTCACAATAAAAACTCTCAGAAAACTACAGAGGGAAACTTCCTCAACTAGATAAAGAACACCTACAAAAGAAAAAGTATAGCTAAGATTGTACTTGATGAAATACTGAATGCTTTCCCTCCCGAGACTGAAAATGAGGCAAAGACATCCACTCTTCCACTCTCACCACTGCTATTCAACAAAGTGCTAGCCAGTGCAATAAAGCAAGAAGTACAGACTTGCGGGTATCATGGCACTACAGACAGAAGCACCATGCCATCCCTCCACAGCAAAGATCCAAAAAACTAAGTCAAACAGAGACAAACGTCAATCCTGAAACCCTAAGAATCAAATGAAGAAATAAAGAACTGAGCCAAGCACCAAATGGAATAAGAAACTGACAGAGAACAGACAGCAAGAAGAGATACGTGCAGAGGTCCCCTATTAGCTAACGCAGCACGGATCTGCCATCTTGAACTCCAATCAGACATCAGAGAATGGGGGGTATAGGACAGCAGCTTCACAGAGCTTCCAGCGGGAGACAGAACAACTGGTAACCAATGACATATACTTTCCCACCCCCTACCCTTCTTCACACCCACTTCGCCTCCCCTGCTTCCTGCGGCCACAGTCTCCTGGCCAGGAAGCACCAGCTTCACCCTGGTGACACTTGGATTCCACCCGCCCACAATGGCCGGCTTCCTGAGTGCCATTTGTTGGTTGCTTGTGTCGCTTTTTTGCACATCTTTTCATTTCTTCCATACCTCTTACCACCTGCCTCTTCTTTCTCTCATATACCTGGCTCCGTGTGCCATCTTTGCTTCTTCCTGAAAGACTGTGAAATGTCGCTCGACTGTGACAAGACAAGACACTGAAAAGGTAATAAAAAAAAACTCCCAACAGAAAAAGGCCCTGGCCCAGATGGCTTCACTGGAGAATTCTACCAAACATTCAGAGAAGAACTTATACTAGTACTACTCAAATTATTTCAGAACATAGAAAAGGAAGTGACACTTCCAAATTCATTCTATGAAGCCAACATAACCCTGATACCAAAATCAGGCAAAGACACCACAAAAAAAGAAAATCACAGACCAATATCGCTCATGAATACAGATGTAAAAATTCTTAACAAAATTCTAGCCAACAGAATTCAGCATCATATCAAAAAAATAATACACCGAGGGAGGCGGGGCCAGGATGGCAGAATAGTCAAAAGCTTCCAGTGGACCCTCTTACAACAAAGACCCAAAAAAACAAGTGAATTGATTATATACAACAATCTAGGAGTCCTGAACATCAAAGGCAAACGTGGGAACTGGCCTAAGTGGCAGAGGAAGGGAGAGACAGTTCAGGAGCAGTGAGGATTTGACAGACCTGAACCAGTGAGAGCCTGAGCCCTTGAGGCCTGATCAGCTCGTGGGCAAGTGGTGAGGCAGGCAAGCAGCGTTGCTCGGGAGGCGTACTCCACACCAGGAGAGACCCAGGGGCAGAGAGTCTCCTCGGCCACCAAGAATCAGTGAGAAGCAGCCCTAGATCGGCAGAAGATAAGTACTTGCATCTGGCCTGCCATGCAGATCAAAAACACCCCCCTTAGAGTAAAACCTCTTTCCCATTTAACTCCCACTCCCTGCAATGCACCAGGTC